TACATACATGCCAATACTCCCACTAAATAAAACACCAACGATCTGTACAAACGGTGATGGTCTTTATACATGATTTCAAAGTGGGTACTCCATCCAAACAACTTAAGAATGGTGGTTCCGAAGGCAAAAGTCCCAGTCAAAGACTTGTCCGTGTTCGCATGTCCACACCTGCACAAGTAAAAAAAAGAAAAAAAGAAAAAAAGAATAAAGCTCAAAGGAGGGGTGAAGGAAACCCCCTTTGAGTTACCAGCGGACCAGCCCAAGTAAATAAGGAATTACTTAAAAGAATAAAGGCAAAGAAGAGGAAAAGAAACTATAATCTAGAAAGTAATGACACCGGAAGGAAACATAGAGTACGTTACCTTATAAACTTGATTTTGAATTTTAGCAAAAATAACTTTATGGGCAAACGGTGTTCCGTCAAAAATAAAAGCATTTCGAGCCTTCCAAATATGATAGATGCTGCAACATAAAGAGACCTTCCTTGCCTTAAGCATTACCGCCCCTCCCCCCNNTCGCCCCTCCTTTTTCTTTTTTAATCCATTTAATAGCACTAGCGATAGAGGTCATAGAGTGTTTGAAATTTAGCCATTGACGGACTAAATCCCAAACTACTTTTGTGCCAGGACACTTAAAGAACAGATGAGCATCAGATTCTTCACTAAGGGAGCATAACTTACAAGTTTGATCGATACCTAAGAAAAGGAGGATGTTTAAAGAGGCAAATCTATCTTGAACACCAAGCCAAGTACAAAAGGAAAATTTTGGGGGGATGAATTTCTTCCAAATGGCTAACTTCCAAAAAAAAATTTCACCTTTATTACGAAACAAATTGTACAATAAAGAGCAGTTTAAACCCTTCGGTGATAAACAATTATTAAAAGTATGGATGACTTCTTCATGGTTACCAAGAGTAGAGACAAGAAGATCTCTGATTTCACAAATTCGTTTAACTAAAGGAGATGCATCTTTTTTTGGATTTCAGTCCCAAAATGATTGGTTTTTAATGGAATAAGAATGAACCCATTTAATCCAAAGGGAATCAGTTTTGAGATGAATATTCCAAAGTACTTTTGCAAGCAAGGATTTATTTCAGGCATTTAGATCTCTAAGGCCTAAACCCCCATCATCAAATGACAGGTAAATATTTTTCCAAGCAACATGAGAGGTTTTCTTACCCCAAAGAAAAACCCTGTATAATCTAGTAATTCTATCAATCACAATAATAGGAAGAGGAAAAATTTGCAACCAATAACATTCCACACCCTGCAACACAGATTTGATTAATTGTAACTTTCCTGCATACGATAAGGTGTTAGACGTCCACTTATTAATGTAGGCAGAAATGCGATCAATCAAAGGTGCATAGTGTTCAGATTTAAGGCTGTGAGCTGCTAAAGGTGTATCTAAATATTTAACGGGAAGAGTAACTGCTGGAAAACCTAACAAATTTAAAATGTCATCAAGCTGGGGAACATAAAAACCTGCTGTAAAAATATTGGACTTGGAGGTATTGATGCTCAGTCCTGAAACAAGTTTAAATTCCTCAAGGCAATCACATAAGATTTTTACTGACTCATAATTACCATAACTGAAAAGCATCAAATCATCTGCAAAAGATAAGTGCGAGATTTTAGGTTCTTTACATCTCGAATGAAACTTAAATGACGGAATAGAAGTATTCCAGTTCAAGAGCCTCGACAAATATTCCATACAGATTAAAAATAAAGCAGGGGACAATGGGGCTCCTTGGCGAATACCTCTTTTACCTTCAAAAGAACCGTGAAGGGTTCCATTTATGGAGATGGAAAAAGTAGCTTTTGTAACACATTCCTTAACCCAAGAAACAAACAAATTAGGAAAACCAAGACCAATCATAGTATCAAAGACAAAAGTCCAGGAAATCGTGTCATAAGCTTTTTTCAGGTCTACTTTAATAGTGCATCTCGGTGAGATTCTTTTCCTAGCATAATTTCTCACAACTTCTTGAGCAAGAAAAATATTATCAGTAATGTTCCAACCGTTGATGAAAGCAGCCTGAGCATGATCTATAAGCGATGGAAGGACAACCTCCATCCTAGAAGCAAGAATTTTCGTGATAGTTTTCGGCCAATAGTATTGCTCCACTTGCCGAGCTCCTAAGACTTGAGGTGTAACATTTACATGCTTAGTCACCCCTTAACTTTAAGGAAAATCAGCCACATATACTATCATCCATGATGGTACTTCACGTGTGTATTGTCCAATTGCTTACGGCAATTTGGACTGCTTATGCACTAAATAATTGTGCTTGGCACTAAGCTAACCATCGCCGCACTAATGATGTGAATTGAGTGTGCTTGGACAACATAACTCATGCTTATACGTGGCTAATAT